TCTACAAGCTGCAAAAGAAGCAATCCCCAGAGGCTGTCGACACAACTATAGACCGTACTGGTCCAGCACACTCCAGGAATGCCAGGAAACAATGAATCAGACTAGAAAGGATGCAGAATCCCAACCTTCACCTGACAACCACATCAAATGGAAAAGGGCTGTAGCAGTGTTCCAGAGAACTAAACTTGAAGAAAAACGGAAAAGCTGGAGAAATAAAACAGCAGCTCTAAACCTTGATAAAGATGGCAAGAAACTCTGGAGATTAGCCAAATCACTCAATGAAGAGAGTTTCTCGCCTAGACAAACAATCACGTTAAGTGATGGTGACAAAATCTTCAGAGGAAAACAAGCTGCAGATTTGTTTGCCAAAACATTCAGTGTTGAAAGCAACCTGACCCTTAATGAGGACCATCAGAGAGAAATAAGGAAAGAAATACAAACAAGCAAACAAACAAATAAGAGACAGACAGATACTCCTGCCTCTATGAGGGAGCCATTTACCATGGGTGAACTACAAAATGCCATCTTTAGGCTTAAGTTAAAAAAGTCTGCAGGTCCGGATGAAATCAGCAACGAAATGCTAATCAACCTGACCTCATCTGCTAAAGTAAAGCTGCTGGAAATTTTCAACATCAGCTGGGAGAAAGGTTTAGTGCCTCAAGTATGGAGAGAAGCCATCACAATACCCATTTTAAAAAAAGGAAAAATTAAGACACAGGCTTCGAGCTATCGCCCAATTAGTCTCACAAGCTGTGTAGGAAAGACATTGGAAAGAATTGTAAATTCAAGACTGAAATGGCACTTAGAATCTGAGCAGATCTTGGTGCCAGAGCAGGCTGGGTTTAGGGAATGTCACAGCATAGAAGATCAAGTCACCTACCTGTCACAAGCTGTAGAGGATGCCTTCCAAGAGAAGAAAAAGGTCCTGGCGGTATGGGTTGACTTCAAACAAGCTTTTGACAAAGTCAGGAAAGATGGTCTCATTGCAAAACTGAAGAGAAATGGAATCCAAGGAAACATGCTAAAATGGATCCAATCCTTCTTACACAGCAGAAGAACTAGAGTCAGTCTTGATGGCCAGCAGAGTAGAAAAGTGTTACTTCGGCAAGGAGTACCACAGGGAGGAGTTATCTCTCCAACTCTCTTTCTTGTGTATATAAATGATCTGGTGAAAGACCTCCCTACAGGAGTAAAAGCTGCCCTGTATGCAGATGATCTGGCACTCTGGTGTACCGATGAACACACCACAGTGGCAAATATAAGAATGCAGCGAGCAGCAGATCTCTTGATGACATGGGCAGAAAAATGGCATGTTGCCATCAACACAGACAAAACATCCACAACGCTTTTCTCTCTTTCCACCAGGGACAAAGCTGCTAGTATTCACCTAGGAACATCCTTGCTAAAGGAAGAAAGCTTCCCCACTTATCTTGGAGTAACATTTGATAAAAGGCTCACATGGAGCAAACATATAGAAAATGTAGAAGGGAAGGCCAGGAGACGACTAGGCCTACTTAGAAAATTGGCAGGTACAGGATGGGGAGCAAATGGAAAAACCCTAAAGAAAGTTTATAATGGAGCGATAAGACCCCACTTGGAGTTTGGTGCAACAGCATGGTCAACAGCTGCTAATTCCCACCTACAATCGTTAGACAGAGTGCAAAATCAAGCTCTTAGACTCATCACAGGATCCATGAAAACTGCACCAATCCTGAAGATGCAGAAAATAACTGCAATGCAGACATTGTCCTATAGAAGAGACACTAAAACTATGATCCAGATGGAGAAGTTTAATAGTATGCAGTCACACCCAATGAATAAAAGGTTAGATGATCTGGCATTAGGGCGTCTCAAACGTAGCAGCTTTGTCCATCGGGGGAAAAGACTTAGAAGACAGTACCAAGCTGATCTACCTATTAGAACAACACCGCTGAAACCTACCCTATACCCTGTACCTTGGGAGCAAGTCAGTGATACAATACAGATAATGACTTCAGTCAATGGATTCACAACTGGAGATGAGTCCAATGATCTTCAAAAACGAACAGCTGCTCTTAGCATGATTCATGAAAACTATCCCGAACAGTCATGGATACATATTTACACAGATGGATCAGCAACCAGCGCGGTAAAAAATGGGGGTGCTGGAGTCTTTATTACATACCCAGGCAACCACCGCCACACAAAGTGGATACCCACTGGTAAATTCTGTTCCAACTACACAGCAGAGATTGTAGCACTAGAGCAGGCTGCCGAAATGTTACACAACACCAGTTCTGACTGCCACCAAGTGGTTATATTCACAGATGCGCTTTCAGTGCTTCAAGCCCTCAAGAGTGGCAAACTCCCTCACTTGAGATCTAAACTTGGCAAGGTGGCTGCCCAAAAGTGTACTGTACTCCAGTGGGTGCCATCCCACTGTGGTATACCAGGAAACGAAACCGCAGATAAACTTGCTAAAAAAGGGGCAGAATGTGACCAAGAAGAGAATGCAGTAACATACTATGAGAAGAAAAGGGCCATCCAGGCTATCAGAAGTGAACAGAGTCTGGCCAGAGATGACTACCACTTACTTGACCGGCATGGGCAGGTCATTGTCCTACGTCTCAGGACAGGACATAACAAACTTAACCAGCATATGCACAGGCTTCGTCTAAGTAGTTCACCTTTTTGCCCTTGTGGGCTATGTGTGCAGACTACAGAACATGTCCTGCAAGACTGTCCCTTGTTCAGCCCATTAAGAAAGGAATACTGGCCCAGTGAGTCACCACTGTACACAAAGTTGTATGGGACTAAAAATGAACTCATTAAAACAGTCAAGTTTATCACAAGAACCTGTCTGTCGGTGTAAATCAGAAAGCGAACACAAGAAGAAGAAGAAGAAGTTTAGTATTTCTTTTAATTTATTTTGACCTGCACAAATTCCCTAGAGCTATGAAAACTCTTCTTGCCTTTTGTATTCTAGTTTTAATACCTCTATCAGTTCTCCCTTAATCTACATTACTGCCCAAAGAGGTGTATGACGCCAGGTCTTGGAGTGGGGTGCCATTAAGAGAAACTATATTACTATTTGCCTGATTTATTCTCATTATCTTTGTCTTTTCTTTATGGATTTTCAGACCTAGCTGTAGTAATCCTGTATAAAGTTTATTTAATTAATCTAGCATCTGATTCTATGAACGGGACAGAAGAGAAATATAATCAGCGAAGTCCAGATCATCTAGCTGTTTTGTAGGGGTCCACTGTTCTCCGTGTTAGCAGTTACTGTTTTCATAATCCAGTCTATAGCCAGTAAAAATATGATCGGCGACAACAGACATCCCTGTCACACACCTGTTTTTATTTCAAATGTATCTGTTATCTTTCCCTCATGAAGAACCTGATATTTCATGTCTTTATGTGTAGCCTTTATTAAGTTAATAATTGTCTGTGAAATTCCATAGTGCCCCATTATTTTCCAGAGAGTTTCCCTATCATTGCTGTCAAATGCTTTTTCATATTCAATGAATCCAATGTAAAGTTGTGAATTCAGTTCAATGCTTTGCTTTATTATTATACGTAATGTAGCAATCTGGTCAGTACAGGATGTGTTTGGCCGAAATCCTGTCTGTTCATCTGTTAGCTTTTTATCAAAGGCATCAGTTAGTAGATTAGTGACAAATTATTTGACCAACATGGCCAAAATACCCTCTGCTTTCTGGGCTGGATGATAATGATGAGCCAGTTCTCCTTGATGCTCAGATCATGTAGGATGTAGGTGATTTTTCTTTTTCTCAGTCTATTATATTCTATAACTATACCACTTCATTTCAAAAGCTGATTTTGTTTTTATTCTTTAAAGATTGATTAACTTTCGTGCCTCATATCCACCAGTTGCCCGTGGAGGTTTGCATAATCCCCACATTTTTACTTCAACTCGTTTGCACGTGCTGGGTCAAAGGTTATTTATGCTGAGAAGTCGTTTCGTTGTTAAGGCGGGTCTTTTTCTGACTTCTTTTCGCAGCCGTCATTGTTGTTCACTACTGAGCCAACATTTTCAAATAATAATATTAGACCAGGCATGTTAATTAAAAGTTCTTTCATTGTCTCCATTATAGTTCTTCTTTGGCACTCAAAAGAACGATTTCTATGTTGTGCTGTGGTTTACAGCTAGGCTGCGAATTTTGCGCTTTATGACCCAACTCATTTCATTCAGCAAACGCCTAATTAGTCGCCTTTCACGATACGCTTTTCAGGGTTTGGCGCCGCCGTGGTGTAGCTGCTAGACGCTCGTTTGCGGATCAAAAGGTCCTGGGTTCGGGTCCTGACGTAGTTGGACCTTTTTCAAAAATGACCCAGGCATAAATAGATACCAGGTAGAGCACTGGGAAATAAAGGCGATGGCGTGATGTTGACAATATCACCCACCCAGTGCTGATTAGCCTATACAATATATGTCTAGCCCTATATGTCCAATGCACCCGAGAGCGTGGAGAAGGATCCCTTACTTTTTAAAAGAATTGTTAATGATAAGTTAGTCTATTTGATCTCCCCCCCCCCCCCATCCTGTCTCCCACCCTCTCTTTCTCTCTCCCCCGTCTTCCACCAGAGAGGATCTACACACACACACACACACACACAAAACGCGGACACTACAAGTAATACTCAACGTCAATGATTTTATGAACCCCATCATATCTCATGAACTCCTTGCATGTTCTTGTTATTTAAGCCCAGAAATACAGCTAGGCAACCTTTCCTCAATAATGGCTGGCTGAAGCTCAATAATGACTGGCTGAAGCTCAATAATGACTGGCTGAAGCTCAATAATGACTGGCTGGAGCTCAATAATGACTGGCTGAAGCTCAATAATGACTGGATGAAGCTCAATAATGACTGGCTGAAGCTCAATAATGACTGGCTGAAGCTCAATAATGACTGGCTGAAGCTCAATAATGACTGGCTGAAGCTCAATAATGCATGGGTACGTTTAGCAAAAATATGTTTCTGTTATTTCCCAGACCATTCGTCAAAAGTTCCCTCATCTAACAACAAGGAGATTGGGCACAAGAGGACATTCCAAGTAAGTCTCTGATAGTGGTGAATTTGGTTCGGGTTTGTGTGTGTCGGGGTCTGGGGCTTAGGCGTTGCGAACGCGCTTCGTAATGCCGGGGTGCCGGGTTAGATCCCTGCTGCAGGCCGTGCGTTGGTTTAGACAGTGGTATCGAGAAGCTGACCCTCCAGAAAGCAAAGGCAAACTACTGGATGTTAATCTGCCAAGAGAAACCACAAAGAATTTAAATGTCTAGTAAGTATATTATAAAATGACGAGAGAATAGACTGGGAAATGGAAGCAAGATGCCAACGAGCCGGTGCATTTATATGCCAACTGACACTGTTATGAAGACATCCACATACAGGTATCAGCGCCAAAAAACACATTATAAACAGCATATTCGTACCAACTGTGTCAGACTTGGACATTATCAAAGGTTCCCCTACATAAAATTAACACCTGTGAAATTAGATGCCTTACAAAAGCCTCCTTCTTAACAATTCGAGACAAGGTTAGAAATTATATTATTAGACAGACTGTAGGAATAACACTATGCAGCAAATTCATTGAGAAACAGAAAATGAAATGGTTCGGTTATCTAGTTCGAATGCAGCCAGAACAACTACCGACGCAAGCGCTACACATAAAAAGATCTGATGTGAAATCAACAGGCCGGCATAGGAGGACATAGACTGATGACATACAAGAGCTTCTATATTAATACGGAAATCACAAACACCATTGCTGTCCATCCAGCATCTGTATCGCAATCTGTTCCTCCAAACGACGCTTAACAGCAGAAGTGGAAATCTGTGATGATGAGGACGAATATTTAAAATAATGAATTACACATTAAATGGTTTTATTTATTGCGATTCAACCATTATTTATATCTTTCAGATACCACTATTACGGAATCGGGATCCGAGAAACAAGTCAGTACTACCATTCTGTTTATTCTGGCAAAGGACTGACAAGGTAACTGTCTTTGACTGTCAACAGTCACGATTTTCAAAGATCAATATTTAGAACATTAAACAAATGCGTGTCGTCTCCACAGTAAACAGGCTTTTATTTTCGAGAATCCGCTACAGGGGGATCGTTTTTTTGCCACATGGTTCTGTGTTTCGCCACATGAGAAGCTTTCGGGCTTTTACAGCTTAGGCTGGACTTAGAATTGTAAAGCAAGATTCTGGAGCTGGTGTCATGACCACAAGTAGTCTGACTATAGAGGTCAAGCCAGAGACCAAAGCAATAACATGGCTGCAGACACAGACCTTTACCCGCACATGCCTTCTTAGTGGCTCGGTGAGTATGCTAAGGAAGAAAGAGAAGGGCTTGATCCAAAGACAATGTATGGTGTCTTTAAAGCGGTCGGGGCTGACATTTTAGTTTCATATTTGTGCCAGGGGAAGGTAGGCGTGCAAAGGAAATAAGCAAGCTAATTGGCTTGCAGGTACAGCTACTGTGGAGGGCGGACTAGCCATGGACCAGGCAGATATTGTGAATGCTCTACGAGAAGGAAGACATTTGCGAAAACCAAGTGATGACTGTGAATCTGCAACAATGATCAGACTGCAAGAACAACATCTTCAAAGAGGTGTGACCAGAAAAAGCACTATACATGAAGCCAAAAAAAAAAAAAATAATAACTAACTCCACAGAAATGGTGTCTTGAGCCGCTACACACTTCGAGATTTACTAAGGAGGGGATCTGAGCACTTATGGGACTAAATAGTTCGATGTGCAAAGAGGATAATCTGTCGACTAACTTACTAACTAACTAACTAACTAACTAACTAACTAACTCACTAACTATCTAACTAACTAACTAACTAACTAACTAACTAACTAACTAACTAACTAACTAACTAACTAACTAACTAACTAACTAACTAACTAACTAACTAACTAACTAACTAACTAACTAACTAACTAAATAACTAGCTAACTAACTAACTAACTAGCTAACTAACTAACTAAACTAACTAACCAACTAACTAACTAAACTAACTAACTAACTAACTAAATTAACTAACTAACTAACTAACTAACTAACTAACTAACTAACTAACTAACTAACTAACTAACTAACTAACTAACTAACTAACTAACTAACTAACTAACTAACTAACTAACTAACTAACTAACTAACTAACTAACTAACTAACTAACTAACTAACTAACTAACTAACTAACTAACTAACTAACTAACTAACTACTTAACTAACTAACTAACTAACTAAACTAACTAACTAACTAACTAACTAACTAACTAACTAACTAACTAACTAACTAACTAACTAACTAACTAACTAACTAACTAACTAACTAACTAACTAACTAACTAACTAACTAACTAACTAACTGACTGACTAACTAACTAACTAACTAACTAACTAACTAACTAACTAACTAACTAACTAACTAGCTATCTAACTAACTAACTACTTAACTAACTAACTAACTAGCTAGCTAGCTAACTAACTAACAAACTTAACTAACTAACTAACTAACTAACTAACTAACTAACTAACTAACTAACTAACTAACTAACTAACTAACTAACTAACTAACTAACTAACTAACTACCTAACTAACTAACTAACTAACTAACTAACTAACTAACTAACTAACTAACTAACTAACTAACTAACTAACTAACTAACTAACTAACTAACTAACTAACTAACTAAACTAAACTAACTAACTAACTAACTAAACTAACTAACTAAACTAAACTAACTAACTAACTAACTAAGCAACTAACTAACTAAATAACCAACTAACTAACTAACTAACTAACTAACTAACTAACTAACTAACTAACTAACTAACTAACTAACTAACTAACTAACTAACTAACTAACTAACTAACTAACTAACTAACTAACTAACTAACTAACTAACTAACTAACTAACTAACTAACTAACTAACTAAACTAACTAACTAACTAACTAACTAACTAACTAAACTAACTAACGAACTAACTAACTAACTAACTAACTAACTAACTAACTAACTAACTAACTAACTAACTAACTAACTAACTAACTAACTAACTAACTAACTAACTAACTAACTAACTAACTAACTAACTAACTAACTAACTAACTAACTAACTAACTAACTAACTAACTAACTAACTAACTAACTAACTAACTAACTAACTAACTAACTAACTAACTAACTAACTAACTAACTAACTAACTAACTAACTAACTAACTAACTAACTAACTAACTAACTAACTAACTAACTAACTATCTAACTAACTAACTAACTAACTAACTAACTAACTAACTAACTAACTCAACAATGAAGGTTGGCTACAGCGTACCAACTGCTGTCTTTGAGAACATTACATGGCGAGGTCCCGATCTCTTCCACAGTGCAACTCAGCTACAACTGTACAAAAACTACAAGTAGTTTAAAAAGAAAATCCTTTAACGCAAGAAATCGAACCTAGCACTAGAGGGTCATGAAATTAAATGTTTTCACTCACCTCTACACACAATTAAAACAGAAATTAGAATATTTTTTAATTACAATTTTTAGGGTTGGTTCTGCAATGTTCTGTAAAGGATCAGGGCTGTTTAAAGCGAAAAAAAAAGGGGGGGGGGGGAAGGATGCTACCAAAATGGTTAACGAAAATTTCAAATACTGGAAACAATAATTGCAGTAATTGCGACAGCAGTGTTAACAGTGATAGTAAAGTAGCCATAGTAGTAGTAATAGTTGGAGTAGTAGTAGTAGTAGTGATATGATTTGTCAGAACAGTAACAGTAATAGTAGTGGTGGTGGCGGTTAGAGTAATATTAGTAATAGTGGCTGTAGTAATAGTAGTAATAGCAGTATTGCAGTAATAATTTTAGTAGTCATGGTGGTGGTAGTAGTAGTACTAGTAATTGTAGTAGAAGCAACAGTCATATTAACAAATGTGCTGAGCAAATTAAGTTGTTAATACAAGTAATTTTTTGCCCGTGTGATGTAAATCTTGTAAAGTGCTATCACTGCTATCTTCTGTTACAAAGTAATTTTCATTACAGATTTTCTGGGTGCAAGCTGAAAAATGAGGTGAGAATTGTCAAAATATTTCCTTTCGCTAAAAATAAAATTAATCAGACATGTTGTTGTTGTTGCTGCTGTTGAATCACATTTCAAATAATTACCATAGTTCGCCGTTTAATTTTTGCATATTTTCAATTTTCACTGAAATGATTTGCTAGCAAAGAACTTAAAATTCACTCATATTTCTTCTACCAGTAAACCTGCCCCCATTCTAATAATTCTGACGGCTAACCGACCTCTCTGTAACTGTCATAACATCTTGCTCCAGAGATCAAATCAGCCGCTTCTCCCTGGAAAATCGTTTCATTTATAGTTTTTGCGTTCTCACTTATTCATGGACCAATGTTAAGCATGTCATAAACATCTAATTTTCAGCTTTTAAATTATATTTTTTTATTTATATTTTTAAAATTGCCATCCTCTTTTTTCACCCTTTTTCTTAATTGTTTTTTTTTTAAATTTCTTTTCTTATCAATGTGATCTATAAATATGTATTTCTGATTCCATGTTTACATTGTAAATTGTATAACTATTCTTCTGTTTTGTCCGTCAAATTGTTATATTGCATTTGCGCTGGCATTTTTCTTTCCCTTCGCTTAATTTTCTAGAGTTTGTTTTGTGTATATCAGCTCGATTACAGTCACACTTATTTACGTCATAAATTATGATGTGAGAATTATAATCACATGGCGGTCAGTGCTGTTGGAGTAAAAACTGATAAAGTTTCACGTAATCTGGGTCTTGATCTAGCTCCTAAAGTTTCCTTTCACCGTCGCCTTTCCTTTCAACCCAATTCCTAGTTCAGACAATTCAGAAAACAACCTGGTATCTTGTTTTTATGAAGCCTGGTTTAAATCACAGGTGTTCGATTTAGAAACTAATTAACCTTGCCTCTACCAGAGATTGAATGCCTACTCTGTTCGGCAGGTAGGTAGGTAGTTGTACCCCACCAGGATATCACACAAGCGATAAACGCCCGGTGACACAAAGTGCCATTATGCGGATGAGGATCACACGTGGAGAGGTCACAGAAATCCTTTTCAGCCGTTAGGCCATATCTATGGCTAGGCCATATCTATGGTCCCGCTACGTTTAGGGCCCCCGGCAGAAGACATGGTGGGGCTTCAAATAACAAAAACAGCATCCTACATAGGAACAACTTTTTTTTTTGTATATTTTTTGGCAGGCAATCGTACATACGTACTATTATGCCTCCGCGACACCACAATTTGTGTGTAGAACGGACCTCAGCATATCCTAATGTATACGTCAGTTGTTTGTTATTAATAGCCACTTTTCATCTTTCCAACATTATACAGTGCGGTAGGCAGGCATGGGAATCCCAGCCCATGGGGATAGAAAGCCTGACTAGCTAGAGCAGCTCGCGTTAAGAGAAGTCTTCCACAATTAGAGCACGGGATCTCAAGACTATTGTTGCCCTTGTATGTATTTAACTTGCTTTTACTCTTAACACATCTGCAATCATTTTCTACTTTTTCCATGTTTCTTTCTTGTCTGTTCTCTTGCAGGACAGATGATAATTGGCATCCTGTTCCCACGACTTCACCTGAATTCTATACCTTTCGTGTCCCGCTCGCACGCATCTTCATAGCTTGGTAGAGTACGACCTCGACATATTTTACCCATCTAAAATTTATCATGGAGGATGTCTTTAGTGACTCCTCCCTGCCCCATCTTCCAAGTCGGTCGTAATCTTCTCAGCCTTTGAAGACTGAGCATTGTCAAAACCGTTGGGATACCTGCTCTATCCAACATTACAGTGTTTTTAAACTTGTATCGAACTAATTTCTCGGTATTGTGTTTAGTCGACCATGTTTCACCACCATACTGAAGGGTACTGAAAACAAATGTTTGACGGACAAGAAGTGTGCACTTTCTGCTCTCTGAGACTTTGTGTGTATGGTAATTTGCTCATTGTTGCTGCTGATGTAGATTTTTTGTTCCAGTGATATATTGTTATTGACCAAGAGTCTAGATTATTGAAAATATACCTGCACGGACTTGAACAAGTTTAACGAGTTCAACTGACGAGCTTTCACTGAGATTTTCCTACCTATTTCATTAGACATATTGATACCTTAAAGACTACAGAAGGCAGTATTAATACATTACCTTCCAAAAGTATTAAGCACTTCATCCTTTAGCGCTGGTCGGATTACGCAAATCAGCACTGACTAAGGGGAGAGAAAACGCTTAAAACATTAAGTATTTCTTACAATCTAGAAGATTAATCAAGGCGTCTCCTAGATTTCCTACTTTCCCTATTCAGTGTGCTATCACATTTCTAAATTACATGCGAGCTGTATGTTTGGATTTGACACCAGTCAAGGTTTATTAACGTTAAGACATAGCGGTGTTTCTTAATCACATATCAGAGCTTGTGGGTTCAAGGAAGGATTAGATAGAAGCAGCTGTGATCTCACTGAAGTTGCTGCTTCAGCTACCACCAACAGAGAAAAGCTAATGCATGCCGGTGTCGTGTGCTATCATCTAGCGAAACTTTTGACACGGATTATAAAGATTATGGCCAAAATTAGATAATGGAAAGTGGCAGAGAAAAAAAAAAAAACAACAACAACTAGGGACTCAGCGGGTAGGATTAAATTGAAAGAAATGAAACGAGCAAAGACATTGGCATGAAAATACTGGAATGAAATTGCAGTAAAACTAAACTAGAGGTGAAATTAGCTTTGGGGATGTTAGGTAAGATCGTCATTTCGGATTAGTGAGATTAACTCCCCCCCCCCCACCCCACCCCCACCCACCCCAAAAAAAAAAAGATAATTGTGTATGGTTAAAATAAATTGTGCCGTCTCAACAATAGTGATTGGTTCTATTGAATCTCCTGCTAACTATACAAATATTACGTGTTGAGGTTTCAATCTCATCCACGAACAACTTCCGTACCATTGTCTGAAAGTTAAAAGAAAGTCTTTTTTCTAAATCGTACATCACAGGAATCGAAGTCTGGAAAACTTCAAGCATTGCACTGTGAAATGCGATTTCACCAACTTATAAGTCACAGAGCCACACGAATTAGTATATACTCAGAGAAATTATGAGGTACTTAGTATCTACTTTAAAGCATCTACTGTTCACTAAACAAAGGACCATTTAAACCAGTGTTGCCCAGTGTGCTGTACTATGGTGTTGTTCAGCTAAAGGTCTAATTCTCTGTTCTAATAACTTTGCACACATTTCTCTAAGTAGCCCAAGAGGGATATACCTCGGTACGTTGCACAGTCTCTTGTATTACCTTTTTTTTTTCCTCTCCAAATGTGTACTACCAAAGCCTGTTGCCAGTCAAAGATAGCTATCATTTCTTTCCATGCCGTGTTGAAAATTCTTGTTAGCCATTTGATGACAGTTTGACCATATGCTTTAATAGTTATGTAGTTATTTCATCTCTTCTTCTTCTTCGCGTTCACCAGCTGTAAACTCTGGCGGAAAGTTCTGGTTGCTCGTCCGCTACTGAACTGCAGTCCTGCCCCAGAACCCGAGTGTTGCGTGTGCATCAGTTTTACAGATCTCATTCTCTAGAATACAGACTGTTGGTTCCTTGCCTCTCCGGCAGATGCATTCCGACTTCAAAGGAAGCTCCCCAATGAGTCTACTCTTACGACATGCTTTTGGGGAGGCAGTGGGTCTATTCATGTTTTCCCCACAATGGGGCCCTGGAACCCACACGGGGGTTATTCCATCTAAAGCAGATGCTTTGTTTTTAGGGCTGTTCTGTGTAACAGCTTTTACTTATGACGTTCACAAGTTTGGTTTATGTTGGTCACTGCTTTTAGGCACCACACTGATGTTATCTACCTCGTTTTCAGGGTTAAGTAGCTCTGTGAAATATTCTGACCATCCTGCTAGCCTTTGATTTGCAATAATTACAGGACTGACTGTAGCATTCGTCTCTTGCTCTTATATGTTATAAACCTGTTTGTAAAATTCTCTAGGGGAACTTCTACTAAGTGTGGCCATCCGCTCTCCATCATGTTTCCATGAGTCATCTTTAGAAGCTGTGATCAGATGTGTTAGACCGCAAAGCGAAAATGTTGCAGGTTAGCTGTGAAGCAAAACACTACGCGCTAAGCAGTGCTAAGAGAGACTGAGTGGTCATGAGGTATTGTGTCCACCTCGAATGCTGGAGGTCTCGGGTTCAAGCCCAGGTGATGGTTAGGATTTTTTTTTTCGCCTGGACTTCTAGTAATTTCCCCTTGTCTTTAGGTAGTAAGAATGGACGCCTGTGTGTATTCTTGCGCACGTAAAAAAAAAAATCCTTTGGCATTAGGAAAGCGAAAATAATAGCCTAACGGCGCTGCCCGGGCAAAAATTTGGAGTAAAAAATCTACCCAAAGTATTTCAGGATCCTTGCTGGTGCAACGGAGGTCGGAATTTTCCCCAAAATCTCCTTCTTAACTCCTACTATGATTTTATTCTTCTCCTTCTTATATTTCTTGGCTGCAGGTTGGATACGATACGCGATATCTAAATAAAAATTTGAATTGTTTGTAATGTCCACCCCCTCCCTTAGCAAATTTATAAACTAATAGTTTTGTTTGATATACATATATACTAGGGCTGTACCGAATAGTGATTTTCACTATTCGACTGAATACGAATAGTGGGGACAACTATTCGACCGAATACCAAAACGAATAGTGTATCATCACCATCAGGTGCATTGCCGACTGACGTTGACGATTATGCCTCGCCACATTCTGCGATCTCCTGCAGCATGTATTAATTCGTGTGTGACACACCTCCATGCCATGCGACAAGACTATCAAGAGTCTTCTCTCGTTATCTTTCTCTATCCCTCCTTCCACAGATCGTTCTATTGGTCACCACATGTTCCATTTTCCCTCTTCTCATAAAATGGCCGAAAAATGATGACTGTCTCCTTCTGATGTCTGTGATTAGTTGTCTTCGGGCTCCCGCCTCTCTCAAACCTCTTGGTTGCTTTTTTGTGTGGCTGTCCAAGGTAT